GTATTCTTTGAACTAAGACAGCTTTCAGAGACAAAAAATATTCCAGTTTGGAGTGGGCTGACAGCAAATCTTTGAATTTTTGTTTGTCTAAAACATCGATTTTACCTTCACTGAAAAGGAAAAAAGGAAAACAATTTCATTGGTTGTAGAATTTTAGGCTGAAATTTTTATTTTCTTTGAGCACCTGAAAGTTTGATGCTATGATTAACAAATTTCCATTGTTTTTACTGGTAAGTCAGCTGTCAAGACTTTTCCTGCTCCCTTGAATGTAGTGTTTCAGCTTGTCGTTGTTTTCAGCACTCCATTATAATGTTTCTAAATGTGATTTTCTTTGTGTTTAGAAATTCTTAAAGTTTCTTGGATGTGTGGCTAAGGTCTTTTGTCACTTTTGCAAAAGAATGTAGTCTTTATCTTGTCAAATACTGCTTTTGCTCAGTTTTGACTCTTCACTCTCAGGGGCTGTAATATGTCACATCTTTTATCAAGGTCATATATGTGTCTTACTCTTTCATTTTTAAGCTTTTTTTTCATCCCCATGGTTTTTTTTTTTTCTGATAATATCCATTAACCAATTTTCCGGTTCAGTAATCATTTCTTCAGCTATGACCAATAAGTTACCAACCACATCAATTAGAAAATTTTACTTATTATGTGTTTTGGTTGCATAATTTCCATTAAGCTGTTTTTATAGATTCTAGTTTTCTAGTAAAACCCTCATCTTGTCATCCTTCTTCCGTATATAAAATAAGCATAGTTATTTTTAAGCCATTTGAGAATATTTCAGAAAGTTCATGAGACATGTCATCCAAATATAAATTTTTCTTGGTGCAAAAATTCTGAAATCCCTGCGTACAGGGGGCCTTTCAAAACATTTATGGAAAATGCATGTTATGAAATTTCATGCATGGATTTCACAATTCTTTTGCACCAAAATAAGCATAGTTCCATTTATCCATGAGCTTTTCGAAAAACCAGTAATTTGGTTGCTTATGGGCCAAGTTCTGTGTGTTTTTCTCCAAAGTTTTAGAGTGGCCAGTAATGTGGAGCAATGCACGTAAAAAATGTAGTTTCTCAACGATATTATCTTCCCCTGAAGGGGTTTCGCCATACCTTTTCTGGTAAGCAGGTATCCATCTAATGTGCGACTTACCTTCTTAGAAAAGAGGTTGAAATTTTTGTAAGGGTTGGTCTGTTTCATGTTTTTCTTTTTCTCCTAAGGTGGAGCATTACAAAGGTTCAAATAAAGAGCCTTTGGATGTTTTACTAGAAGTACTCCTTGGTGAGTCCTAGATTTGATACTGCCAAAAGCTTGACTTTTCCTTACAGTTGCACTTCCATTTTTTATAGCACTTAAGAATTATCAAGTCCCACAATGTAAAATCAAGTGTTGAGTGTAGGCTCAGCTCCTTGCACCTCCCTTCTCTTAAGGAAGCTGCTGCTCAACTCCTGGCCCTCTTGGAAGCTCTGGACCCCCTTTAAAAGCTTTCCTTTTTACAGTTATGTCTTAGCATCAGTAGTATATGGGAGATTGTAATACGCCTGCTCTCTGACTAAAAGAGCTGACCTCCTTTAGCTATGTTCTTTACAACAAGCTTATGCACAGCAAAAGTGGCTCACCATTCCTGCTTGGGGGCATCTGCATCTAGGAGGTTGTGCTTTATCCTCTAAGATACTACCACCATCATCGCTCTGACCTCATACAGAGACATTTTTGCAAATAGTTTGGCCTTTCCTACCAGTAGGATTAAGCAACAATAGTCAGCATGATATTTGCTAAAGATTTACTGATAACCATATTCTGTATTAAATGCTTTATATAGATCATCTCATATAATTCTAAAATAAGCTAATGATAATTATTTATAATAAAGATGACTTTTCCCATTTTGGTATTGAACAAATTGAGGTTCAAAGAGGATAAATCAGGTACAACTTTCCCGAGCCAGGAAGTATGTGGAACAAGCAAGAATGATCTTGGATTTTCTAACCCCAAAGTTCATGTTTTTTCCCACATACAACCCTGCCCCTTGGCTTGCCTTCATTCAACAAAACCGTTTTGTGTGTGTGTGTGTGTGTGTTTCACTGAACTGTGGAATATTGAAGTACCCCTCAAAAAAGTGAGAGCTAAGTAGTCTAAAAGCATTACAGAAACATCTGTCCCCTTCCTTCCTGGTACATTTGCCTCCCCTACCCATCCTCCCTTTGAAACATGTGTAACATTAAAGACTTCCATTTATAACTTCTATTGCAAATCTGAAAATAGGTGATTTTTTTTTTCTAATAAAGCTATGCTGGGACAGGAAGCAGTTAGTGGAAGGGCTTTATTTTTGGAGAATTAGATTGGGGGTGTTGTGGGGAGAAATTGCTTTCTGCAGTGTCAGATGAATGAGTTATAGGGAATGATAGCTCTGCCAGCAGCTTGATGCTTCTCAGTGAGTCAGCAGCGTTTTTGTAGAATCTCATGCCCTGATCCCAGCTGAGAGCACTTCTCCTCCAGAGGGCCTCTCCCTGCCCTGCCCTCTGGGCTGTGGAGGTTCTGCCCACCAGATGGGGGTCCAGTGATGCAGGGGAGGAGGAGGAAGGAGTCACAGAACTGACTCCTTGTTTTCATGCAGGCGTTTCCGTATTTCCTTAGAATTCTCAGGTGTCTCTAGCACTTCTTCCTCTTACCTGGCAGAAAAGTCCCAATGGCTTTCCATTTGAAGAGCGAAGTTTGGGATTGCTGCCAGAGTGGGCTCTAGTTATCAGGGTAACATCCTTAAATCCTGCCTTATGTCAAGTTTGGGGGAGAACATCAACAAAACAAGACAGGGAGATGTTGCTTCATAAGCAACAAAAGGAAAGCGATCTTGTCACAATAATTGAAAATATGGGCATGAGGCACAGAGACTAGGATCAAATCCTCCACTGTTGGGTTAGGAGGTACAGAGCTGATTGTTTCTTACTTTGTTTTCTACACTGGATGAAAAGGTGCAAGTTGTAAAATTCATCCTGAAAGTAGTTATTTAGTATTTTTAAACTATCCAGTTGAGTATAAAAATGACTGAGTAGTCTGAATATTTTAGCACATCTTTTCCCCAGAGCTCAATCAGATTCTTAAATTCATTCTGCTCGTGTACAAGATTGTCCGGGAGGAAATGGGTGGGGAAGACTAATTTTACTCAGAATCTACTATGTACTCGGCGTTTAGTTCCAGTCACAAGAGGAGAAATGCTGTCATCCACATTTATAGATAAAGAAGCTAACACTCAGAGAGATTAAAGAAACTTTCCGGGGTCAATTAGCTACTATGTGGTAGAATTCCACGGAAGCCCAAATCAGGTTGACTCTAAAATTTGATACTCTTCCCACTGAAATTTGGAGTGATGCCTTCACAGGTTTCCTTCCTCCATGCTTATTGGTAAGACATTTAAAATGTGTCAACTCTGCTGGATTCATTATCCATTAAGAAAATTACATTACTATTGCATACATATAATATATATATTATATTATTATTCTCTCTTTGTTTAGACCTAGGATTCTAAAGTTCATATATACTTGATTTCCACTTACATTAGAGGAGGATTTAAAACATTGCCTAGCTTGAATAGGTGCATATCTGTGTATCTAATACTAAATGGAAACTTAGACTCCCATGAAATTTGAAGCAATTTTTATGATTTTCCCCAAAGTCCTTAAGAATAGAGGATAAAGTCCCTTGAGGATAAAGCTGAATGTGGAACTTTTCAGTGCAGCAGCTGATGGTGACAATGTTGATTGAAGAAAGGATAGTGTTAAGCACAATTGGTACAGGTTTGCAAAAAATACTGGGAAATTAATCTTTTCAATGTTTTAAGAACATTTAAGGATCTTTTCAATGTTCTTACTGCTATTATGCAACCCACATTACATTTTGTAGCTTCATTTAGATATTGATAAGTATCTCTACATATACATGTGTCTAAACTATACATACTTGATGTGCAATTTAACATCTGTGTAACTTTCAGAAAGATGGATACATTCTTTTCCTGAAAAAGTTTTGTTTTGTTTTTGCAATGCTTTATTTTTGAAGGAAAAAAAAAACTACGAGTTGCTTATTTTCTGCATGTAATTTAATGAAAGGAAGCTGGACAGGGACTCAGATAACTGGAATCTGGATTCCAATTTTGCCGTAACTAGCGCCATGAAATCCAGCAAGTTCCTTAATTTTTCCAATCCTTAAGTTCCTTATCTGAAAAATGAGGGGCCTGGACTAGATAGTCCCTAAGGCCCTCTTCAATTCTAAAGTTAAATAAAGCTATGAGTACACTTGGGGTATTAGATTTGCATCCAAATGGTTTCTTGTAAAAATGTAGACATCCCTAGTGGCTGGGTGTCAGCTGTGATGCTTCTCTTCTGCCCTGCTTAACTTGATTGGTTATCATGAAATCATTTCATTTCTCCTAATTCCCTTTCACCTCCATTCAAGGTCACTTTGTGTCGTTGTTTCCATGTTGTTCTTAATGAAGCAAGAACTCGGGGTGAAGAAGCCTTGGGCAACACTGGGCCTGGCAAAGAGCTGATGAGGGGACACTGAGACCTCCGGTGATTTGGATTTTTTTGAGGCAGCTCGGGCATTTTGTAGGTGGCACAGACAGGCTGTGTCAGATGCTTTTCAGGACTGGGGGAAGGGAAGCAGATTGGAGCTTAATTAAAATTCTAGTCCCAACTTTGCCCATCTTCTTGCCAAGTCAGCAGCCAGCTTTTCTGTTTGTGGTTCTGGTGATTTTGCTGTGATGACATACAAGGTTCCCTCAAAAATTCTTGCAGATTTGCCTCAACTATCAATATGCTCACCAAAGGCTTTCACCAGGTCTGGCATGGTGCCCATCTTTTGCCTGTGTTTTTGGAGATACCTGATCCACCACCACTAGTGTTCCTGGTGGGAGGGAGGCGTTGGACAGAGAAAATTAGACTGGTGCAAGCGGAAAGTTTCATTGCAGTGTTGAGATCTTTCCAAACCGATTCTGTTTTCCAGGTAGCCAAGTGGGATTTCTGAGAAGGGACTGCTCTTCCTGCACCTGGCCCACCATGAGGTTCTTCCTACATTGTGCTTACATGTTGCTCCTAATGGTATCACCACTGAGGGCAGTCAGCTTTCCTGAAGACGATGAACCACTAAACACAGTTGACTATCACTGTAAGTTGCCAACAGTACTGTTCCCTGTTCTAAGAAGAAAGCTGTTTGTTTTTCATTTTCTTAGCATGTATACTTTCAAAAAGACTACTGTTTTGCATACAAACGTATCTATAATCACCCTAGTGTTTGGAGAACAGGGGACAGCTATGTTGGGTATTTTTTGACAGCTACCCATGCTTAGATTATATATTTTGAGCTAAAACAAAAAGACCATTTGCTGACATTCACCATATTTTATTCATTTACATTCAAGGCCTTAAGAAGGGAATTTAGTTAAAACCTTTCTACAACTAGTATATACAGCTAATCAATGCTGTATATTGATTCTTCAGCTCCATAATCCTGACTGATGGTTTAGCCCATTTTCACTTGCAGATTCAAGGCAATATCCGGTTTTTAGAGGACGCCCTTCAGGCAATGAATCGCAGCACAGGCTGGACTTTCAGCTGATGTTGAAAATTCGAGACACACTTTATATTGCTGGCAGGTAATTTTCCTCTCGTTGGTTTATTAGATTAAAATTCTTTTCTCTTGTGGTGCTTGCATTAATGTGTCTAGTTCATAAAAAACTAATATGTGATTGTGATCAAGGATTGCAAGTAGCCAAAAATTTTCACCAAAAAAAGAGCCTGTGTTACATACCAGGAACAAAATGCAAAGCTAAAGTCTTCAGCAGTGCTATTTTATTACTGCCATCAAGAAATCATACACCATGCTTTTTCCCTAAAGCAGCAGGGGAGAAAAACCCTTTCTTTATTCTTTTTCAAGTTAGAATTGTTCAAGCAAACATTAGAAATATGTCTATGCTAATACCAAGTAGCAGTTTGACCTATGCCTGCCGAGAAGTGTTTTCTTTGCTCCCCGAAGACAGTGATATAGACAAGCATTTCACTAATGAAAAAGTACTCTTTGTTGACTTTGTTTGAGATGGAGAAAATCCAGATGATCTCCAAAACACAATAAAGGCAGATCTGTAAAAATGAAATAAGAAGCAGCTTAACATTTTTATGCATTCACATGACATGACTTATTGCTTGGTTTCCAACAGGGATCAAGTTTATACAGTAAACTTAAATGAAATCCCCAAAACGGAAGTAATACCAAGCAAGGTGAGCAACTATGGTTGGCAAATTTATTTGCATTCACTCAGAACTTGAATAATATCATCTGCCCTCCAAAAATGTTCCCAGTTAAAAACTAAACTTTGGTTTCACTTGATTAATTCAGAAGCTGACATGGCGGTCAAGACAACAGGATCGAGAAAACTGTGCTATGAAAGGCAAACACAAAGTGAGTTAAACAGTCATGAGCCTGCCAGATTTCATATTTCTGTGGAATTGATACTATGATATCAGCATGTGTAATGTCAACGTCATTCTCATTTTTCTAGGATGAATGTCATAACTTTATCAAAGTATTTGTTCCAAGAAATGATGAGATGGTTTTTGTTTGTGGTACCAATGCATTCAATCCCATGTGTCGATACTATAGGGTAAGTATGTTTTATACGATTGGCTTTTTTTTTATACTCTTCCTCTTCTTCTCTGTAGCTGTAAGAGTTGAATCCTTTCTGCTATAAACCAGTAACTTTTTTTTTATCTGTAATGATATAAAAGAATGAAGGTAGATTCCTTCAAGTAGAATTTAAATACAAATAAAGCAGTACTGCCTTCAAACAGGTACCTTGAACAGATGTGACATCAGTCATTTATTTTTCTTTTGTAGTTGAATACCTTAGAGTATGATGGGGAAGAAATCAGTGGGCTGGCAAGATGCCCATTTGATGCCAAACAAACCAATGTTGCCCTTTTTGCTGGTAAGAACCTTTGCTGTAATGAGTATAAATGATTGATGACACTGAAGGTGAAAAAGGATTTTAAAGGAAAGGAAAAAAGTTCATAACTCCAACCGGCTTCTTGATATAGGTGTTTCCAAGGCTGAAATCTATGAACAAATATTTTTAAAAGGGGAAAACGGAGGGAGGGTATTCCAGTGTACATTGTAGGTATTGTGCCACGTGACCCTCCTGCTGGCTTAGCCAGTAACCGTGAATAAGATGCCTGACTTTCTGATGCTTACGCTTTCCATCTGAAAAATGGGGTAACACCATGGGCCAACCAGTTCACCAGTCGATTATGAACATCAAGTATATATTTAACTGAATCAAATGTTGTTAACACAGGTGAAAGCGCTAGAAGAGTATAGCCCACTACCTAGTCTAACACACCACGGGAGAATTACGGTTATCTTACCAAAATGATAACTTTGGTTTCAGATGGGAAGCTATATTCTGCCACAGTAGCTGACTTCTTGGCCAGTGATGCTGTTATTTATCGAAGCATGGGTGATGGATCTGCGCTTCGCACAATAAAATACGATTCCAAATGGATAAAAGGTACCTTCACGGGTGCTGGGGTGGAGTCCCAGCAATAGTGGCATGGCCTGAGTGTGAACGGCCATCAAAAACTTCAAGAGGTTCAGTGCCTGGATTGACATGAGGATGCTTCCGAAAGTTCATGGGACAGTGAAGCCAGACGGGAAGATTATCTTGGTGCAAAGAAAAGTTGAAATGCATAATATGTTTTCACAACACATATTTTCCTTTTTGAAAAATACCTCATTGGAATAGATTTCAAATTTTTGCACCAAACTAAACTTTTAATTAAATTTTATGGGAACTTTCGAGGTGTTTTTGAACAGACACACTCTATCTGATTGTGAATATGATCATTGATGGCAATGCCGAGAGCAGTAGTCAGGTGTTTATCCTAGGCGACCTCAGAAACAGAAAGAGCTCGGCTCCGAGGGCACAAGTCCAGTACTGCTTTGCTGTTCCCATCTGCCTAGGTTGGAAAGTTAACAGAAAGAATCAATTAATCCATATCTGTATCCGTAGACATTTTGTTCTATAGTGTCTAGGAAGCTGAGATTTTCTAATTTCAGTATAAGAAGTTTTCTTTGCAAGTTAAATAGGTTAATGAATAAATCTGTTGAAACAAGGACCTTCGCTGTAGTTCAATTCCCTGCAGACTCCTTTACAGTCCATTAGCTGACTTTAAAGACGACGGTTCCCCAGAGCTTGAGCACACCCATGTTGAGACTGCTCAAAAGCACTGGAATATCAGAATTCTCGTTAGCTTGGAAGTAACTGTGACACCTGTCAATCATGCACACTAGCTCAATGTGGGGGGTGGGAGAATAGCATTTCACGTGGATTGGATTATCGCTTAGGTGCCTGTGTATTTTCCATTTTCTTTCAGAACCACACTTTCTTCATGCTATCGAATATGGAAACTATGTCTATTTTTTCTTTCGAGAAATTGCTGTGGAACATAATAACTTAGGCAAGGTGAGGACATGCGTCTGATTTGTATTGTGGACTTTCACCTCATGGGATGGAGACCACTTTGGCAGAGTTGTGGATACCTCCTTGGCTTGTTCCTTAGCATGCAGTTCAAGTGCAGCGAAGTGGATTGCTGATCACAAGAATACTGGCTGAAAAACACCTGCACTGTGGTCAGAGTGGGAAAAGTAGCCTCAGGCTTTGAGAAGCTTTCTTTTTGTTCTCTGTCACCATAGAGAATGTTCTACAGGTCCCCTTGAGCTATGGAAACTGATTGTATTTCTTAGAAATCCAAGGGTACTCTATGTTTCCCAGTGCCTAAAAACAGGTTGGAAAAAAGCGACTCCTGTTCAATGTGGAAAGCTTCAGTAAAAACCCATGGACTGCAGCCGTTCCATGCCGAGTTTAAAGCAGCACATTTCATTAACAATATGAAAAGCCAAGTTGGAGACTGAGTACAGGGATGACTTTTGTTCAGTAGGGCAGCAAGGTAGCCTGTATCTGGGGAAGCATGCTGGTAGAACAGAAAGAGAGCCACATTTCCACAGGGTTCTATCTAGCTTACATTTCCACCATCCCAATCCCCAAAGAGAAGGCTACAAGATTATTTTGGGTCTAAGTATCTCTCATGTTTGGCCTTCCATGAAAGGGCAGCATTTTGTTGCTGTCCCTTTTCTGGGTTCATAACGCCATTGCTTTGCTTTTGTCCCTGGGCAGGCTGTGTATTCCCGTGTAGCCCGCATATGTAAAAATGACATGGGTGGCTCGCAGCGGGTCCTAGAGAAACACTGGACCTCGTTTCTGAAGGCTCGGCTTAACTGTTCCGTCCCTGGGGATTCATTCTTCTACTTTGACGTTCTGCAGTCCATTACAGACATAATTCAGATCAACGGCATTCCCACTGTGGTTGGTGTTTTCACTACCCAGCTCAACAGGTGAGGACGGATCCCTGGCACATCAGTGTTCTGGGCTTGCCTGTTGAAGCCGGACACGGGCCCATTGTCAGCAACCTCTTCCCAATGGCTCTGCCCTTTTGTTTCAGCATTCCTGGGTCAGCAGTCTGTGCGTTTAGCATGGATGACATAGAAAAAGTATTCAAAGGACGATTCAAAGAACAGAAGACTCCAGATTCTGTTTGGACCGCAGTCCCTGAAGACAAAGTACCAAAGCCCAGGTAAAAAAAAAAAAACAAAAACAAAAACAAAAAAGGAAGTTGAAAAGGATTTTGTTTTGAACAATGCTGTCTAGTTCCTGAAAGCTGTCCATTCTCGAGAGCTGCTGGACCACCCTGTAAGGCCAGAAAGGGCTCCTGCCGAAGCATCTCAGACACAGTCTGCAAACCTAACCCATGACCTGCCACCCTGTGCGCTTGAATGTGGCAGCCCTACCAGGTGCAGCCAAGCAGCATCACTCCTCTGGTTTTGCTCACTCTCCTTCCTCTCTTGACTTCTTTCAAAATATGCACTTACTCCTCAGATAGTTTCAAGGAAGTGGATGGATGAAAGAACACTGTTTTCCTTGCAGGCCTGGCTGTTGTGCAAAACATGGCCTTGCTGAAGAATACAAAACCTCCATCGACTTCCCGGATGAGACACTGGCCTTCATCAAATCCCACCCCCTGATGGACTCAGCTGTCCCACCCATTGCTGATGAGCCTTGGTTCACAAAGACGCGGGTCAGGTGAGAGGTTTGAGGGATGCTGGCGCACTCCCACCCAAAGTATTCTTGTCCTGTTGGCTGTCCAGTCTGACTCACCCCACCTCCTCTGATAGGTACAGATTGACAGCCATCGCCATTGACCACTCCGCTGGGCCCTACCAAAACTACACAGTCATCTTCGTTGGCTCTGAAGCTGGCATTGTGCTTAAAGTTCTGGCAAAAACCAGCCCCTCCTCTTTGAATGACAGCGTATTACTAGAGGAGATTGAAGCTTACAACCATGCAAAGTAGGTGTATTTAACAAGAATACTTCTCAGCACTGCTCAGACATTGCCTTGTGTCAAGCTTATCAGTCACTGCTCTTCAGCTCTCTGAATTGGTTTGGTTGGCACATTTGAGTTTTATTTTCTCATGGATAAAAATCCTGAACTTTTTTCTCCCAGAGTCCTCTACAGCAAAGAGAGTAGACCCCTGGTGAATTTAAAAAATGATTTTGCCCTTGTTTTTCACCTGTGGAAAATGAGAATATTGTAACACCACCCCTCTTATCTCACAGATACAGTTCAGGATGCTACATGTGGCAGACAGAGGTTGTAAGCACACATAGACACGGGAAATAAAATTCTCATTAAGCATTTTCTTCCAATCATTGATAAGTAAGAGATTATTTGGAGGCATTAGCGCTAATACAAAATATATGAGGGAAATGGAGTAAAGGAAACTAGAAGGAAATCCAGAAGCATCTAGCCAAGGAAAGCTTAAATACAGTTAAAGCATCCTTTTTAATTCCCTATAAATTTAATCCTTATAACAGGAAAGCAATCCTAAAATGACAACTTTTGTCCATGCTAAATTAAAAAAAAAAAGGATTTGTTTACTTATTTTAAAAGCAGAGTGGCAGGGAGAGAGGATGAGATGGGAAGTTTCCATCTACTTCCCCAAAGCCCAACAACATCTGGAGCTTAACCAGGTGGAAGCCTTAGAACCAAGAACTCCATCTGGGTGTCCATCTGGCTGGGAGAAGCTTTTGTGCTTGGGGCATCATCTGATGCTCCCCAGGATGCTTTAGCAGGAAGCTGTGCCGTAAGTGGAGGAGCTTGGTCTCAAAAGATACTCCATCTAATATGGGTGTTCCAAGCCATGGTTTAACCCACTGTGCCATACTACCTGCCCACGAGCTTCAGATTTAATAAACCATGCAGTGAAGTAGGTGATGCATTTTGCAATTGCTCTCTAACTACTAATCTGGTTTGCTACTAAGAATATCCCTTCAGAATTCCCAGGCTGTCTGTAATTGCAAAAGCAAATCATACTTGGCTAGTTCATGTGCCGTGTGATTGCCTCAATGTGTGATTCAAAATATATCCCACATCCTAGGTGTAATGCTGAGAATGAGGAAGACAAAAAGGTCATCTCATTACAGTTGGACAAAGATCACCACGCTTTGTACGTGGCATTCTCCAGCTGTGTGATCCGCATCCCCCTCAGCCGCTGTGAGCGTTACGGATCATGCAAAAAGTAAGCTTGTGTTTCTTCCCTTACCCTGGGCCTTGTAGCATGGACATTCCTGATGAGGAAACAATGCAAGTCACACTTTGGTTACCTGCAGGTCTTGCATCGCATCTCGTGACCCCTACTGTGGCTGGTTAAGCCAGGGAACCTGTGGGAGGGTGACCCCTGGAATGCTGTGAGTATACTTTGTCACTTTAGCCTCAACTTCTTATATTTCCAGAGTCTCTAAAGCCAGATGTTTTTGATGACATTACTTTTATATATATTTTTTTGATGTGGGTAAAAGAAGAAAAATGCAAACCTGAAGATGTGCAAAGGAAGGGAGATGATAAACAATAATGCTTAAGGGGAAGGGATGGAAGAAAACCAATTCTTTTTTATTCTCTTACATATTCTAAGACACCTTTTGCAGAATTGGTTGTTTTAGCGAGTTAGTTTGAACTATGGATGTTTTTCTCACCTGTTTTTACTAACCAGTCTTGTGTTCTTGGTTCTGCTTTGGTTGTCACTTGTTTTTCCTATAAAGGCTCTTAACAGAAGACTTCTTTGCTTTCCATAACCACAGCACTGGAGGATATGAACAAGATGCAGAATACGGCAACACAGCCCATCTAGGGGACTGCCACGGTGAGACAGCGCCTTCCCTCCTTCCTGCCACTTCCTTTGGACTACATTTGCACGTGAACATGATTTTACAATCAGCCTTTTTGTAATGACTTGGGGCACATACCACCTAGCATTTAACTTAAACTTCGCAAAAGCTGAGCTGTTTGGTCATGGGGATACATTAGCAAAAAAAATCTTAATTTTTCTTTTCCTTCACCAATTACAATTTTATAGGAAACCTAGAGAGAGGTAGCCTAACCAGTAGGTTAGTCTTTTCATTTATGGTCTTTTCTTTAAACTTTTTTAGTTAATTGGAATTCATAAATTTTTACTTTCTTTTGGTTACTTTTCACTGATTACTTGTTCCTTTAATTCTTTTAGAAATTTTGCCTACTTCAACTACACCAGATTACAAAATATTTGGCGGTCCAACATCTGGTTAGTTTTTTTAATTTTTTTGAATTAACAACCTTTTCTTTCCTTCAGTCAGCATTTTCAGCCCCTTCTCCCCTCCTTTTGCGCAGTTTGGCAGCCCTTCATTTTTCTGCTTTGACTCATAATCGCACTGGTGGTACCAAACGACTTTTTCTTACTCAGTACTTCTCCCCTGTGTAGCATGTTAACAGTTCATCATTGACCAAGGCACATCCTCTAAGAAAAATCAAATGGGTCACATAGGCTGCATTCCAGCTGCACGCACGCCACCCTGCCCCAAGCTTTCCTCTTTCTCACCTGTTTGCATTGTGAATGTTCCCTCTGACCATCTATGTTTAATGGATGGCAGAATTTCATTATGTTGCCCTTCTCTCCTCACCTTTCCTTAAACCTAACCAACAAATACGCATTTTCCAAAAATGTGTATTTATAACTTTCAGAGGTCTATTTTTGAATGGTTTGCAGTAATCTTGGAATCTTTGAATGCCATAATCTCAGTGTGGAACTGGTCTTCATGTGCAAAAAGCTTCGGTCAGATGAAGCCGAGTTTTGATGTGTTGATGTTCCTTGGACTCTCCATGCTTCTCTGTCTGTATCTCTCTTGGAGCCCTCATCCGTCAACTGTTAACCCGGACTGGATCAGGGTCTCAACGGTTTTAGCTTAAAAGCAAATGCTTACATTTTGAGGGAAATCTGCTTCTTGGAAATCAGTAACAGGCACACTAAAAAGCAAACTGAACTTCCTGTCCTGTTGCTACTTCCGAAATTCACCAGCAGTTTCATCCCTCAGCAGGGAGAAAAGAATGACATAGCTAATGTATCCAGACATCCTAATGCAGGATGTGAATGCCATTGATTTTCCGTGAGTTGCTGCTAAGCCTTTGGGAGTCACTCCCAGGGCGTTTTAGAGGTCATAGAGAAGGTTTATTCATGCTGCAGTGCTTCAGTGCAGGCAGTAGGCCCTCAGTGCACTGAAAAAGCTACAAAGGGATAGGAGGCCTATGTTGAAGCGTGCTAAGCAGGGTTGGCTTGTAGCTTCCAAAATCAAGTGTTTACAGTGCTCCTTCTCGAAAGCATGTATGAAAGTACTTTTGCAAACAGTCAACACAAAAGCTACTGTCTCACCGGAGGATGAGAAAAGAGTAACTAATCTGCATTGCATTTAGGTTACCTTTCCCATGTATCATAATAACCACAGAGACCTCCGTAGGAGTGTTTTGAGTAATGCTGAAGTCTGCTAAATATGACTTTCTGGTTAGTTTTTATCTTTTATTCTTCCCTTGCAAGAAAGGGACTGGTGTAGACTCCTCAGGGTTGTTTGTATGAAATCCTAGAACAAAGTTTTCTCATAAAATTCACCTTGGCTTTCCTTAAAAAAAAAAAAACTGCCACAAACCCATCAGAAAAACCTTCTGAACCTACCCACGTTAATAAAAATCTGTTTGCATCACAGACATGGAGGTATTTTCATCTTCTGTTACCGCAATGGCAAATATCCCAGAGATTACACCTAAAGTGAGTGATACCTGGAGACCTAAACTGACGAGCTCCCGGAAATTTGTAGTCCAAGATGACCCAAACACTTCTGATTTTACTGATCCTTTATCAGGTATCCCAAAGGGTAAGGCCTCCCCAGGGAACTCATCTCTTAACTGCGTGGAAACCTGATTCCCTCCATCGCTGAGCAGTGCGTAGTTCTTCAGAGGTGAACCTGCCCGGACATCCTCCCCTTGGGCTTCCACCTCCATCCGTTACAGCCACTTGGGTTTTCTTGCAGTTGTGTCTGAGTACATTCTTTCAGAGATGAAAGAAGTGGAAAGCTGTTACAGGCAGGATTGGTGAAACAGCCACTCAGACAATCTAATCTGTGTTGACTTCTGTCTGAAGAAGCTAAATGCTTTCTGAAGATCAGAGAATTTCCAGGGTCACCCTCGCGAGATTAAAGAAGAATTCATTAACTGAACGCACTCTGATATCAGATGTTTCGTCTGGGAACTTTTGCCAGCTTCTTGTTTAGCTTCAGTTCAAAATACGGCATGAAAAGGATATGTGGCAAGTTGCTTAAATGCCACAAGCAATAAAACCGAACTGAGTGCTTGTCCATAACTATCATGCTCAGCCCGTAATAGAAGCAGTTATCAAATAGCTGCCTGTTGAGTTAACTTATTAGATCTATTACTCTGTGGAAAAAAAAATCTATTATTTTGTGCTTACTAAAATAGGGTATCAGGTTTCCAATCAGTTTTTATGGCAGTGCCTTGTCATTTATGATTTACTTCTGTTGATTTGGGTTTTATATATTTTCCTTGTAAGCAATTTTATAATCATTCTTTTTACTATGTTTTCTTGAGTAATTCCATTTCTTTCTGTTTCACCAAACTTACCCTTTCTTTCTTGACCTTTGTCAATGCCACTGAATTCCAGAACCCAGAACATGGAATTAAAACAACTAATTTCAAAGCCCTAGCACTAACTTAAAGCTACCAAATCTTCCAAATCGCTTGTGCTTAACCTTACACTGGGATAGCTCTATTTGTAGAATGTAACAGACTTGGATACCTCAAACTAACATTTCTTTGACTGTTAGATGTCTGTGATTGCATTCAAAGTTCCAATAATTACAAGTGTATTAACTCTTCTTTTAGGTCTCACGTAGACATTTCTCAAGTATCTACAGATAATTTTAGAGATGTTATGTAACTAATCCATAGTATGTATTTACTCACAATGTTTGGTCTTCTTACCTAACATGGCACTCAAGGGTAGTTCACCCAAAGATGGAATGTAAAAGTGAATCAAAGGAAACATTAATGTCTGTATTTGTAACCTAGTTATTAGGCAGATGATTTCTGTTTTTATTCTAATTAGTTAAACTATATTAGCATCATTATTTTAATGTATGTATTTGCATTAACATCTATTTCCCTAGTCTGTAGTTGCCCTTTTAACCTGATTTACGAATTAGAAGAGAAATAGAGCACTTCATGAACTTAAAATTGGCTGTGTAGAAGACTCACACTCTCTAATTGTATTTTAGCTAGAAACTCTTAAAATCTCTAACATTGTTTAACAACTATTTATGGGGGATTGGAAGGATAAGGACGGAAAAAATAGAATTGCGGCAATCACCTCTATCTCTGGGGATTCTATTGTGATGAGAGAAAAAAGATGTGTGTGTATGAAATATGTGGTATACTTGACCCTGAATGCTAAGTAGATGGAACGTCCAGGAAGGCAGTGGTGGCTCAATGGAGGTCACTGGCTGTGAAGTTCTGGTTTTCAGAAGTACCTCACTCAGACCTTGCCTGTATGTGTGTTGCAGGTGTTCGCTGGGAAGTACAATCTGGAGAGTCAAACCAGATGGTCCACATGAACGTCCTCATCACCTGTGTCTTTGCCGCTTTTGTTTTGGGTGCATTTATTGCAGGTGTGGCAGTCTACTGCTACCGTGACATGTTTGTTCGGAAAAACAGGAAGATCCATAAAGACGCAGAATCTGCCCAGTCATGCACAGACTCCAGTGGAAGTTTTGCCAAGCTGAATGGCCTCTTTGACAGCCCGGTCAAGGAATATCAGCAGAATATTGATTCTCCTAAACTTTACAGTAACCTGCTGACCAGCCGGAAAGAGCTGCCACCCAACGGAGATACTAAATCCATGGTGATGGACCATCGTGGCCAACCTCCTGAGCTGGCCGCTTTGCCTACGCCAGAGTCCACACCTGTGCTTCACCAGAAGACCTTGCAGGCCATAAAGAGCCACTCCGAAAAGGCCCATGGCCATGGAGTGTCAAGGAAAGAAGCACCCCAGTTTTTCCCGTCTAGTCCTCCTCCCCATTCCCCATTAAGTCATGGGCATATCCCCAGTGCCATTGTTCTCCCGAATGCAACCCATGACTACAACACATCGTTCTCAAACTCCAATGCTCACAAAGCTGAAAAGAAGCTCCAGCACGTGGATCACCCACTCAGCAAGTCCTCCAGCAAACGAGATCACCGACGCTCAGTGGATTCCAGGAATACACTCAACGATCTCCTCAAGCATCTTAGTGATCCAAACAGCAACCCCAAAGCCATCATGGGAGACATCCAAATGGCCCACCAGACCCTCATGCTGGATCCTGTGGGACCTATGACAGAGCTTCCTCCGAAGGTCCCTAACCGGGAGGCATCCCTGTATTCCCCTCCTTCCACTCTCCCCAGAAATAGCCCCACCAAGAGAGTGGATGTCCCCACCACTCCTGGTGTCCCAATGACTTCTCTGGAAAGACAAAGAGGTTATCACAAAAACTCCTCCCAGAGGCACTCTATATCTGCTATGCCTAAAAACTTAAACTCACCAAATGGTGTTTTGTTATCGAGACAGCCTAGTATGAACCGTGGAGGCTACATGCCCACCCCCACGGGAGCAAAGGTGGACTATATTCAGGGGACACCAGTGAGTGTGCACCTGCAGCCTTCTCTCTCCAGACAGAGCAGCTACACCAGTACTGGCACTCTTCCCAGGACGGGACTAAAGAGGACACCGTCCTTAAAACCTGATGTGCCACCAAAGCCTTCCTTTGTTCCTCAAACCACATCTGTCAGACCACTGAACAAATACACATACTAAGCCTCAAGTGTGCTCTTCCTGTGTGGCTTTATCCTGTCCATGTTGTTGAGAGCATGATGTTGTAAGGGTACCTTAAGACAAGAGACTCGCTTGTATTTTAAGAGAACCAAGTGGCCAAAGAGACTCCTCCTCGCTTTGGCAGCATCAGAACTCGCCACATGTAGCTACTGCAGCAAGGCTTCTGTGTCCTTGCCTGAAAACAAAGGAAGGTGCTGGTCATTCCATTTCTTTTGTTTGAAGCTAAAGAGATGTGTAGTTCCCAGGAACTGCCTTCGCGGTATAAAGAGCTGATTCACTACTCAGAAGAATCTGTGAACAAATACTTGAAAATGGGTTCAATTGAGACTGCCATTCTGTGTGGTCTTCCCATTAAATGTGAACATTTTAATATGTATGCATTCACCTTGCCTCTTGCACAAATGTCGAAACAAACAAACAAAAAAAGATGGTTATGTCTGAAAGAAATGAACTTGTAGATTTCCATACAGATTGCTAAAACTTCAGTCTTTGACCCAAACTGTAGCATTTTTTTTCCCATGGGTGGCTTTTTTTTTCATGCCGCCAATAGTGTTGTGTGTCTGCATGTGAGTGTGTGTGTGTGTGTGTGTGTGTGTGTGTGTGTGTGTGTGTGTGTTCTGGGTGCACTAGAATTTGTGTAGATGCCCATTGCATCCTTTTGTGCTATGGCGTTGTTTACATTGAGCACGACTGAACAAGAGACAATAACTTTTCCCTCAGCAGTCCGTTGGGTTCAGCTTTGAGAAAAAGAGTAAAATCAAGGCTCGCCTGACCGTCAGAATGATCAGCTTGACCTATATGGTACCCAATGCCAGAATGTAAGAGTTCCAAGTAATTTTGTGCTGCTATTCGTGAAAATGTCTATTCCAGTTTTGCCAGCTTAAGGAGATAGAGCTATTAAGAGCTATCCTTGAATATCCACAAGTATTCAGTAGTGAAATTTACCTGTCCACTGTGAATCAAAGCCTGAGTCACATTATATAACCTTGGACACCAGTAAGATTTTATTTTGACTGTGTTCATTTTTTCCCTCATGTAGGAAATTTGCTCCTCCTTTAACTCCTTCTACCCTCCCAAGGTAAACAAATGAAACAGAAAACAAAAGAAAGGCGTATTAAGGGAATTGTAATTGGCCTAACAGAAATAGTCTGTGAAAACCCAACAATGGTGCAATCATATTGTCTATGTTGTGTTTCATGAGAATTCTGCCCTGAGTCATGCAGGTAATGACAAATATACTGTAAATACCACATGTGAGTTTACCTGAATCTGTGCATTTTGTGCCTTATTCATGAGAATGATAGAAGTACTAAAATATGTCACGTGTTTTCAATAGAGCACATCATTTACAGAGTGCCAGCGGTAAATGTTTTTCAACCAGCACCTGAAAAGACTTACAAAAAAAAAAAAAAAACCTAAAAACAACCTAGAACAATTCCATGTTAAACAGTCCACCCGAAGAGCAGCGTTACATTTTTTGTCATGATCAACATTCCATTCCCGCTGTCCTGAAGTTGACGCTGGGATAATGTGAAGTCAAATGGGGTTTCCAAGGGAATATGACAGCAGCGGAAGCCACAGAGAGGCAGTCATAGATAGCTTGGCAGAAACCACTCATATTTGATGATGTGCATCCCCGCCATTCCAATTAATATGCTGCATACCACACACAATTGTTGATTGAACCTCATCTACAAAGCACCAAGGCAGACGAATGCTCCTTAGATGATACGTTCAGCTGATGTCTTGTGCTAACGCTGATGGTATATATTACTTGGGGGAGGACGGGTGGCCGAAGACCAGATCATTTTTATACAGATTGTAGAATACTGAAGCAGTTACTCTTTTCCTTTGAGAGCGTTGTTTTATAAAGAACACGATTTCCTCTGAAATCTCTGGAAGCTCAAAAGCTAAAACTTTCATTCTTGAAACATTTCAGCTTTGCAACTAAAATATTACAGATTAATAATAAATTAAACCAACAAATGGTAAACACTTCTCAGTCCACCAACAACAAACGTGTTTGAATTTATCTTACCAATATTAATCCCAGCGTGTGTAAAACAGAACAGTAACTCTGTGTGACCCCAATAACATTTTGTAACATTGTGCTGCCTTGTAGTTTGTAATGTGAGTTCTATCAGTATTTATGTTGAATTTTCTAACATTAAATCTAGTCTCTATCCTGTTAATTTAATTTTAAATGCTTTATCCATTTGTGCAAAGGTAAAACACAGATTGTATCTTTTTTAATGGTACGGCATAAAAAGTAACCCTAAAGTGAAGTGACTCTATACTGTTTTATAGAGTACTTTAACATGTATAGATATCTTGTAAACTTGTATTGTGGATGTGTAAATAATATGTACTTGGGGTTTTTAACACCGCATGTAAAATCAAAATAAAATATACAAATCATGATACCTTGCCTTTTGAAATTGAAGAGGTTATTGATGTGTCACATATTTAAAATATGTTAACAGGGTTAGCACCAATAAGAGGTTTTATTTTTTCAAAATCTACCAAATACTCTTACCTGGAGTATTTGCCATGCAGTCACTGATGCTCTGCTCAGCCCTGCTTAGAAGGAGGATGCTGAAAGCTGGAACTCCTGGCAAAGGAGAGAATGTTCAGGAACCCAGATGGGCTGTTGTACTTCATCAACAGTTAAATGCTTCAGGCAAACATTCTAGCGCTTCGTATTGTCCACATAGCTAGCTTAACGTTGTTAAAATTCATGATTTGTAATCTCACATGAGATGTGGATGCAGTTTCAGTTCATGATTCCACTGGAAAACAGGGTTCCTGTGAGCATTTTTGCTCTTGGATATATGAAATTTCTCTATTTTTTTTTGTTTGTTTTCATTAGGTTCTAGCTATTAGGAGGTCTCTCTTAAATATTGAAATGGAAGATAAGTATATTCCATGTTTGTCTCAGCAGCTAATTAGTACATGGCCACGGTCTTTTTTTTTAATTTTTTTAATTTTTTTTTATTTTTTGGTAAATGATGAGGATGGCAAACCAACCCTTGGAAAGGCAGCAGACATATTGGTAACCATCCCTCTGGATTCCAAAGGCTACTCTTGGCTAAAGCCTACAGCTGGTATGTGGCTCCATTTTTTGAATCAGCTTCAGCAGAATTTTTACAGAACAACAAACATCACCATGTTACTGTCTTGCATCTTGTCCTCTTTTCATGGTGTCTTAGTAGGGGTGCTACATTTTGATGCCACTTCAGTCATATTGGGGTCATAGTTCATTCCTATGGTGACATGCTCTGAGAGATAGGTGGAAGAGTTTATGGGAATTCTGTGCAAAAAAGATGGCTGGGAGATCTGTTCGCCCCTCTACAAAACTAGAATCAGTACCTCTGTGTATGCTGCAAGACAAAGGCTGCACTTGGTGTCCCAAACCCTGCCTGCCAATAGAATGCAATTAAGTCTGCATTCTACCATAGTAAAGATGAGATGAGTGTGGAAAATGTCTCCCATCTCACTGACCTGCAAAAGTCAATTTGTAATTCTCTGAGTTTGGAAAAATTGATGAAGGAAGAGATGATTAAGGACAATGTGTATTCAACTTCGCTTCTTCCTGAACATTTTTGCATTGTACCGCATTATCTTCCATTTAGATTGCCTGTTTCTATTAGATTAGTGCTTATTATACGCATGGCCAGTTGGCCAGTTTTCTTGAATCAATTAATTTTTCTCTAAAACATGAATCTTTTTCTACCCTTTATAGAAATTCTTAACCTTCTTCAAACATGGGTATATTTGTTAATTTAACAAAAGCTATGGATTGAAAGGTGAAGTTTACTTTCCTTTTCAGGAAATATAGTTCCCTAAAATGACATCTATGAGTCTTTAGAGTAAAAGCTCAAATAGAATTTGAAAGAAATAGAGTAAGGGAACTTGGAATGATTTTATGGGAAGGACATTATAAAGCCAGAAAATAAAAGCACCAAATAATACAAATAAATAACCAAGACAGGACAGTGGTGCTCTTCATTCCAGAAATCCCACTGAGCATGAAAGTTACTTTGGGAAGTGGAAGCTTGTAATTCAGATGGGATCCTTGAAATATTGAGACAGGCTAAGAAGGAGGAGCATCTGCTGTGCCAGAGCATGACTGAGTAATCGATGCCAACCTTGATCCAGGAGTTACTCATTGTTCTGGTTTTCAAGAGAAGCCAGCTGTCTCTCCCTCCCCACTTCTCTCCCTTCACATCCTTATCAGACAGGGGCAGAAAACAAAGCATCCCAACAGCCCTCGGAGTGAATTTTTACCCTGACTACATCACATTACCTAGTGACTTGGGGGCCCTCCAAGTCTCAACTTTGGTTTTCCAAATTTTGAGAAGAGATGGCTTGACATCTATTTCTCTAATAGTTCTATGGTCTCTGTCAGCTCTATAATGCTATTACTTTTTTATGAATGCTGTGCTTAAATATTAGTCATCCAATAGCTTGGTTTGTAGGCTCTTCATGAATTTGTGAAGCCTGTTCTGTTAGATAGAAGATGTATGTGAGATTAGCAATAAAGTACAACATGATAAACAATGCAATTTAAGCCATTTAGCTTGAATCTATATCTGATGTTTTTCCTTTTTTGCATATATAACACATTAAACACTTAAATTTCTGCCACTGTTACATTCTCTATCAAATAGATGGGAGGCTGTAAACAAAGAAAAATGGGCCTATGGTAAAATCAATCTTTAATTCTTGGGGGAAAGGGGAGATTCAGGCCATGAATCAACTGGATTTCACATGCAAAGGCAAAGAGTGTATTTCTAGTCCTTGTCCTAACAGCCTTTTTAAAATTAGTTATTGACTACTGGTTGATAAATCTCTTTGTAACATCCACTTGAGTACATCCAAGACCCTTTTGGTGGATTTTGGTAAAGAAAAGCATAAATACAGTATTTTTTGCGTGTGTTTTATGATTTATAAGTGCTCTATGTTTGTGTGAGCTGGATCTACTCAGTGCTATTGTAAATATCGACTGTAGGCCAGTTAAAAGAGTGGTCGGAGGGAAGATTTGCTGGTGCCAGTGAGCTGTATGCAGTGGGAATAGTCTATGGGCTGCAGGTAGCCTAGCATATATGACCTCTGAACTCCTGAAGTATGGCTAGTGAGGCTAGCATTGTGGTGTGGTAGGTTAAGCTTCCACTTGTGACAATGGCACTCTATACAGGAACATGGATTTGTTCTCATTTACTCTGCTTCAGATCTAGTTCCTTGCTAATGTATTTGAAAAAGCATCAGGAAATAGCTAAAGAATTTGGATCGTTGCCACACATTTAGGAAACCTAGGTGGAGTTTCAAGCTCCCAGCTCCAACCTTGGCCAGCCTCCAGTCATTGTGGCCAATTGAGGAATGAACAAGCAGATGAAAGATGTCTTTCTTTTTCTTTCTTCTTGGCTCTCGCTTTATTTCCCCTCCACCTCTCTCTGTCACTCTACCTTTCAGATAAATCTAAATGAATAAATAAGAAACAAAGCTAGTGCCCTTAAGGTATTAACCATATTGGACCATGGCAGACTAGAAGATACCCCTGCGAGGGACACAATTCTCAACGATATGCCTTTGCTCCAATATAGTGATTTGAGGAGGGGCTTAACTTTGATCAAAAGATGAGGGATGCTGGGATCAACATTGTGGTTTAGTAGGTAAAGCTGCCATCTGCAATGACAGCATCCCATATAGGGACCCATTCAAGGCCCAGCTTCTCGATTTCCAATCCAGCCCCCTGCTGATGGCCTGCAAAAGCAATGAAAGATGGCCCCAGCGCTCTGACCTCTGCCACTTACATGGGAGACTCAAAAGAGGCTCTTGAATACTGGCTCCTGGCTTCAGCCTGGGCCATCCTGGCTGTTGCCACCATCTGAGGAGTGAACCAACAGATGGAAGATCTCTCCCTCTCTGGAACTCTTCCAAATAAAGTAATAAGTTTTAAAAAAAATAAAAGGGGGTCATGCTTGTGCATTTAGTGTATCTAATGTGCACCTCACAGAGTTTGCATTCAACTCATCTTTTGTTCAACCATAGATTTAATTGGAGGTTTTGTTTTCTTATTTAG